ACGAGCACAAAATCACTTCCAGCATTTTCTTCTACTTAAGGTTGTTCAGCAGTCCATTTCCCTCATATCCCTAAATATCATAGTTTTACATTTGTGGGAGACTTTGCTCATCGCTGTCTTTTCACTAAATCTTCTAAGGTGTTTCTGGCGTGGAGGGAGGCAGCAGCATGTTCAGTGTCCAAGCGCCACCAGCAGGGGGAAGCAGTCGACAAGGCTCAGAGGTCCATCAATCAAGGTAACATCAAAACTCCATATGCTGTTTGTTTCAGGTCATTTTAACATTTATTTTCTGTTAGCAGATCATGTTTTATGTTAATGTCCCTTCAGCTCCCTGAATGTTACTGTTTAATAAGATTATTGGTCGTAATGTATATTTCTTACACCTACAGCTTGACAGTTGGAAAGTGTTAGTTTTAAGTGATTTGATTTGCTCTTACTTTTTTGTCCGAAAGCTGAAAAATAATACACAACACAAGGTTACATTTAAGAGAGACTCTCACACAAGGAAACTCAAATCATAAAGACCCCTAAAACAGTGTATTACAAATGAAACTTGAAGGTTTAAACATGTAATACAAAATGTCTTTATTTTCTCTAAATAATTCAATTCTTCATTAATTTCTTTCTTGTATCCAAAACCAAATGCCAGTCAAAGTCATCGACTTGTGTCCATTGTATCACTGCTGTCATAGCATTACACCTCAGATTTGACATTAAGATATTGTGTCAAAAATATTGTTAAGATTAGGCACGTGTTGCTAAATTGTTCTAGACTTTTAGCTTGATGTTTTCTGTGTGTAGTGCGGCTGCTGCGGTCTTTCAGACACTGGAGGACGCAGACCAGGGAGGCTCGGAGAGAGAGGCGATGCATGGAAAGAGCCAGGAGGTACCATGAATCCAAACTCCTTTCTAAAGCACTGAAAGTCTGGAATGAGCATCACAATCAACATCATAAAAATAAGGTTGTTACTTTATTATCCCTCAACTGTTATATAAAGCCAATCTGTTTTGTCGGGCTTTTAAAAAAAATGTGATTACCTCATAGGTAATGAGAAGACAGGGAATCTTCCTGCTGAGGTTGAAGATGTATCAGACGTACTTTGAGCAGTGGAGAATAAAGGTTTGTCTCTTTTTAACACCTAAACATTTAAGCTTCTTTATCGCTGCTACACATGGAGATAAAACAAATGTACAATATATGTTGTTTGATTTAGTTCAGTTTAAACTGGCATTGAATCTGGTTTCCTTCCCACTAAACAGCTGCAGCACAGACGGAGAGAAGCGAAGCAGACGGAGCGAGCGCTCTGGCACTGGTCCCTTTCTCTTCAGGCCAAGGTAACACTTGCCTATGCAACCTTTTCTACCTTTGAAAAATAAACCGTTGGTCCTCATGGTTAGGGCTGCTCGACTATGGCAAAAATCATAATCTCGATTATTTGGGTCAATAATTGATATCACGATTATTAAAAACGATTATCCATTTACTTTAAAAACATCAATTTATTGAAAAACAAAATGTGAACTGTATGTTTTTAACAGTTGATTACCCTGAACTTTAAGTATAATTCAACTGAAATAAAAAATAAATAAAATCGTTTTATTTCGATTATGTTGTTTTCATAATCGTTGCAAGCCAAAATCGTAATTGCGATTAAAATATGATTAATTGAGCAGCCCTACTCATGGTCTTGATGTTGTTTTGTGAACTTGCTATAGGTGTTGTACGGGTGGAGGCAGACGGTGACAGAGCAGCGCAGAAAACAAGAGCAGGCGGTCAGAGCTGCAGAGGTGTACAGAGACCAGCTGCTGAGGGAGGGCGTGACATGTATCCTCACATACGCTGCTCACATGAACAACCTCACAACGAGCCTAACACAGCACAGCCAAGAGCAGGTGGGAGTTCATTTTGTGTTATTTCAGATATTACATTGAGTATCATTACAAATAACTTGTTTTTTTATTACTGCACATATTTTATTCCAATTCCATTTCAATGTAAATACCGCAGTATTTTACTATATTTTTTAATGTTATTATAGTTTTCTTAAATGTCACCTATTATGCAAAATCCACTTTGTCATGTCTTTTATACATAAACATGTGTCCCCTCTGTGGAAAGAGATTCTGAAAGTTTCAGGAAAAAAGATTCGCTCTCTTTTTGTCCTGATCTTTTTATATAAAAACTTGTCTGAAAATGAGCTGATCAGATTTTGGCCACTTTATGATGTCATAACGGTGTTTTGGCTTGTGTCACCATTAGCCAATAACAAGCCAACCAAGGTAACCCCCCCCCCCACCTTATCACCTGAATCTCCTCCTAGAGCACCATTGTGTTATTTTTAACCAAATCTCTCTCAGAGGGGCGTGGGGGGTAGCTCCTTATTTTCATCTAAAGTAACAGACACAGAATCAGCACTTTTGAAACAGGGCTGAAACAGAGGGATCATGGGATGCTGCAATGATCTGTTTGGTATTTTTTTGTTTTGTTATAACACTTCAGACCTATCTGAGACCTATAATATATCGATGAAAAACAGTATAATAGGGCACCTTTAAAATAGTTTTCTATCTGTGTTTTTAATTGTTGTTTTACTTTTATGTGTGCACCACGACAGCTAGTCAAATTCCTCGTACGTGTCAACCTACCTGGTAATAAACCCGTTTCTGATTCTGATCATCATGTCTGCCTGCGTCCTGCAGCGGTCCCGCCACCTCCAGAGAGTGGTGAGGCGTTGTGCGATGCGGTGGAAGCAGCGGGCGCTGTGTACACCCCGAAGAGAGCAAGAGGTCAAAGATCAACCACCGAAGAAGAGTGTTAGCTTCTGTTTGACTACATCTGGACTGAAGAGGGTTTCCCCGTCTCACTCAGAGGGGCAGGAAGCTGAAGATGGAGGGCGTAGCGAGCTGTGAGTCTGACTCCCTCTCAGGCCGGGGACCTGTGTTCCTCAGTGAGCCTCGGTCTGACAGATTGTTTCTTTATCTTTGCACTCAGCCGCGGGCATCGACGTCAGCCACGACGCTGCAAGGAACTGTTTGAGTCTACAATAACAATAAAGTACATTTTCAATATAATCAATACACCATTCATTTTTTTTAAACTAAGCATTTATTTCAAATGAGAATAAACTCAGCAGGAAGCCCTAACAGAAGCTTTTTGTCTTTTTTTCCTAGCACCCAAAGGAAGATGGCCGTCACCAAAGCTCCAAACCCCTCACTTCTCAGCCTTCCTGCACCAGAAGGCCATCAAACTGCGTTGTCTTGCCTCCATCCTCCTCCCGTCTCTTTTCCCTCCACACATCAGAGCACCATCATATCTAATGTGTCACCCTGTGAACACCGAACCCAAAATAAAGACGTTCTTCTACCCCCCTCTGCCTTCATGACTACTGGGGCCGAAGAAACGGTAATAATCACCTGTTCGATTTCACCAGATATCAGCAATGTGATAAAAGCTACATTTAATAACTTGACTTGGGCTTCTTTTTTTTCAAAAGTTGGGGAAGAGTAACTGCTCAGGTTTTGGAGATGCTTCACTTCATCAGTTTGTTCCTCCGTTTGAACACTCGTCAGCTCATTCAGGTATGTTACCTGCACTTTTCTTCACCTGCATGTGTTATTGTACAAATTGACTTTAAAACATGATGCCTGTCCAGCTTGGATTACTCAGAACATCACAAATGACAAGATTTGTATTTGTTTTGCTTTATCAAGACGTATGTCAGAGAGCAACCGGTGGAGGATCTTTAGAAGATGCAGCGACAGATTCAGCTTCCGCTCTCACTGAAGAGCTGCTCGGCATCCAGCTGGACATGATGACATACCAACGGGACAGGAAACAGCTCCGGTACAAATTCTGTGGTATCCATTTGTTCTCACGTTCTTGAACACAGCCCTCCGTTAACATAATGTTTGATTGTGTGTTTGAACTCAGGGCATGGCAAAAACTGAAAGAAGTATTACAGAGTTGGGTGCAGACCAGTGGAGCGGGTGAACAAATGGAAAGAATTGCAGTTTGTGAAGAGTTGAAGGAGGTAAGAAGTGAAGAGAATTCTGTCATTGTATTTATATTAAATCAAAACGTAACGTTTCAGCACTCACATCATGGTAAACTGGTAAGTTAGTATTAACACTTGAGTGAAGATACTGTATTGATGATTGATGTACTGATTTAGGTGCAACAACTTGAATCTCCAGAAAGAGAACATTAATAAAGTGTGTCTTCATTTTGTTCAAACATTTATTTTTTACTACATTATTATCTCATGGTTATTACGGTTCTTTCAGCATGATTTATAACATGTTTATGTAAAGTGTTAGACCACTTATAACTACAACCAACTGAGTAACAAATACTTAACAGTAGATTAGAGAAATACATGTTGTATCCAAACAAAGGAGATGAGCCTCAATGGATGCAGCTCTATTGTAGTAATTGTAATAGTACATGTTTCTTATATTAAGGAAAGAGACAGGGCTCGGTCCTGATCTTAAAACAAGTTATTTAAAGGTAACTTTCTGACACTGGTGGCTTAGGTTTGGCATGCATTCTTTGGAGGTCTCGTTTAAATGATAAGTGATGGGCTGTGAACAATTCTGCAAACAGAGGCCACATGAGGGGAAGCAGTATAAAACTCAAAGTAATTTGACATGTATCACAGTCAATGTTTTTAATGTTAACAGTTGGAGGAACGCATTGACAGGCTGTCCGCTGAACTGGCAAAGCGTAAACCCTCGATGCGGCTGCATGCGGAGAGGATCCGCCATTTACAGACCGCCCTCCAGGACTCAGGAGTTTCTTTCCTCCGTCGGAGAGCAGACGAGACGGACACCGATCCCTCTGTGTTTACAACATGAAGAAATAGAGCTTCACACTCACAACGGATTCAACCTGCTGATTGTCGTTCATCTGCCTGGATCACATCTCTTAAAACAACACTAAGACTCACCTCAGAATTGAATGAGAGAACAGCTCACCGGCCGATACATATTTTGGACCCAACTTCTACTCAGCTTTGAGGAAAAGACTGATATCCTTAAATACACGTATGAATTTGTGTTCCTGTTGACTATCATGTAAATGGTTGTAAAATTGACAGAGCAAATCCAAAAGCACTAAAGCAAAGTTCCTTACAGCAGCTGCTTTCACGGCTACTTCCACACCTGAAATCTGCGAAAACACTGGATAGGGGTCGTCCTTGAGACAGATGGTGATAATTATTTTCCATGTGTAGTCACTTTACAGTTTTCAGAGAGACTGCCCTTGCACAAGAGTCTTTCTATTTATCCGTTGGTACCAGCGGCTGTAATACTTCCTTGCAGGAGTTTCAGGGATTCAGACTCAAAGGAAGGACTGCTGTCTGTTGAGCTCTGCAGGCTATATTCAATAGATGTGTCCAGATATTTGATCAACATCAGGTCAGAATGCGTGGAGTTTATGCCATTTTCCTCTTTTTACTCTTAATCAACTGCATCAGGGGTGAGTTATGTTTCTGAATTACTTTATTTATGTCCATTGTTAAGTTATTTCTTGTTCATATTCTGACTGTTTGTGTTGTTGAGTGTTTTATCCTTTTTGGTTGTTTTTGGAAAGATTGCTGCTGTCTTTCTGGAGCTTTTTGTGGACATTATTAAAACTGAAACAAAGAATTTAAGCGTTGTAAAATCCTTTCAAAGTTTAACAAAATGCAAAGTTGGTTTTAGATGTTCTTAATTGTTAAGAGTGAATAGAAATTCATTACATCATTAACTAAGATGTTCACAAATGAAATTCAATAGAAAATATTCATTCCTCATCTGATCTTCTGAATGATGTCTTCCATGTTAGCTAAGAAGATGCGGTGGTGCACAGTGTCAGATCCTGAGCAGAGGAAGTGTGCAGAGCTGGCTAAAGCTCTGGTGGCCGTGCTGCCGCCGGCCGCTGTGGCAGCTTTCGCCAGACTCTCCTGCATCCGAGCGTCCAGCACGACCGACTGCATCGATCGGATCAGGGTGAGCAACCTTTACCTTAAATGCAGTGTCGTGACTTTAGCTCTGGTTTATAACCTGTAAAACAAGCAAAACAACTAACTAGCAGAGTGCACTCACATGAGTTCATGTTAATGTGTGTTTCTGCATGTGAAATACAGCTTATATTCATAAAATAAATAATAACAATGGCTTAACAAATGCATAAAAAGAGACTTTCATCGATTGAATAGACCACGAATGATTGTTTGGATGAGGCACAGTGCAAACACTTTTTTATTTCTTTTACAATAATCAGTGTTTTGAGTTTAACACTGCCTGGTTTAGGTTAGAAGTTTTTAGCTTGATCAAAAATAATCAAACGTAATAAATACATTACTTTGATGAGGAAATTCAAAATAAATAAAATTCCTCAACATATTTGACAGAGTACCAGTTCATCTTTAACCCATTACATTTGAAAAGTAACCTTCCCAACACTGGCTACCACCTGTTCATAAAGACTCATATTTACTGCAGGCGAACCGTGCTGATATCGTGACGTTGGATGCAGGAGAAGTGTATTCTGCTGTGAAGCAGTTTGGCCTTAGAGCCATCGCCAAGGAGATATACAGCGACGGTAGGTTTCCCTTCAGCTTTCTGAGAGACTTCAGAGTGTCAGAGTGTCAGTGAGCTGTGTGTGTCTGCAGGAGGCTGTGTTCTATCTGTAGCTGTGGTGAGGAACATCAGTCTGGACGTCCGGTCCCTGAAGGGCCTCAGGAGCTGCCACAGCGGGGTCCGGTGGACGGCCGGCTGGAGTCTCCCCCTCGGCTTCCTGCTCTCCAGAAACTACCTGAGCTGGTCCAAGGAGCAGCCGCTCAGTCAGGGTAAACACATTATTATTATGAGCTCCCAGAGAAAACAGAGCCGTGTGAGGGGTGTTTCATAATGTTTTATATTTTGGCATTTATGGTCTAATGGTTTTATGGTGCCTGATTTGTTTTTCCCCTCTCGAGCAGACGTCAGTACTTTTTTTAGTGCCAGCTGTGTTCCCGGAGCTGCTGCCATTGCCCCTCCTCTGTGCGCTCTGTGCCAAGGCCAGAAGTCATATATTCGCCAGAAGAATTACCACTGCGAAACATCCCATAATGAGCCCTTCTACAACAACCAGGGGGCCCTCAGGTCGAACTCAACAACTTCACTTTAAACCTATTCTCTATATTCTATAATATGTACACGGTCTGAACAGCATAGACATTCCTTTCTCCTATTACATCTTTCGCCCTGTCACAGATGTCTCAGGAGGGGGGCCGGGGATGTTGCATTTGTGGATCATTTAGCTCTTGAAAGTATTGAAGGTAAGCTTTCTTGTCATAGACTTCTAGAATGTTTTCCATTTCATATATTCTGCTGTTTAATGATATTTTCTGAGGGCAACCAGCAGGGATTTTTGTGTTAAATGCCCCTCACCTCTCTTTAGTTTTTATTTTTCTGCCTATTTAATAATGAAAAATGCCCTGAAAACACTTTAAAATCAACATTTAGTAGAAAATATATCAGCTCCCTCCTAATATTCAGTTTGTTCTCTCAGACAGTGATAGAGATGAGTTCAGGCTGCTGTGTGCAGACGGCTCACAGGCTCCTCTCAGCCACTACAGGATCTGTAACCTGGGCCGGGGTCCAGGAGGCGGCATGGTCACCAGATTAAACTTGCGCAAGACTGCTCGCAAATTCCTATCGACGGTGCAGGTAGCTTTATATTCATTTGTTCAATCATTTCCCACATTTGTCTGCACACATCACTCACTTTGTTTCAGATTCACGTGCCCATAGTGCCTGAATATAAGATTCGTAAGGGATTCTTTATTGTTGTTTAGATGCTGTTTGGTAAACGAGGAAAAGAGAGGCAGCGTTTCCAACTCTTCAACTCCTCTTCTTTTGGAGAAAACGACCTTCTCTTCAAAGATGCGACGGATAAACTGGCCGTTCTGCAAGACGACATGGACGTCAGCCAGCTGCTGGGGCTGGATTATGTGGCGCTGCTCAAAGGTCTTGGACATGAAGGTGCTTACACCCACATTGTTCTGTTGTATATTCAAAACTCATTAAGCGGGACCTCTTACAGCGTGATTGTGTGCAGGAAGCTCCCTGGAGGACAGTGTCGTGCGATGGTGCTGTATTAGCCATGCAGAGCAGAAGAAATGTGAGCAGTGGGCTCTCAATATAAAGTCGGACCCTCTGGTGTGTGTCAGAGCGGTGTCAATGCGTGACTGTATCGAGAAAATCAAGGTAAGTCATTCAAGAAGTATAATTACAGACTGTTAGTAATATTAAAGTTCCATCACTCTTAAAGACAACAAGTACCCGCCTGTGTCTCCCACAGAGGGACGAGGTGGACGGCGTCTCGCTGGATGCTACTCACTCTTTCATCGCAGGAAAATGTGGTCTTGTTCCGGTAGTTACAGAATATTATGGTAAGACTGTGAGCATTCTCAAAACATATTTAAGGCTTTTCAAGTAGGAGATCTAAGCAAGCACAACAACATTTACACAACAATCATACCAATACAAATAAAACCCCAAAAATAGATATGAATAAATGAAAAGCAATCAAAATAAGTAGTCTGGGAGTATAACAATATTGTAACAAAAATATATTTAGTTAGGCATCATTTAGTGTGTGGAGTGCTCCGTACAAATATATTTTTTATTTGAATGTATTCTCTTTTAATTTCAAAAGGTATTTCAACTTGTCCCTAACAAAAACTCTTCTCTTGCATTGTTGTAGAGATAGTTAATCATTCAGATCCAAAATAAGGATATGATACGGTATTCACTTTTGATTCTCTATAATTCTCTGACATTTTATAAATAAATTGATTAAATAATAAAAAATATAGTGCATTTGTTGCAGTACAAGTCTTCATTCATTAAAAATAAACATTGATCAGTTTCCTCTGTGTTCTCTTGGACTCTCAGGAGAAAGGTGTGTGCCTGCTGAGGGATCGACCCACTTGGAGACGGACGGTAACACAGCACATTTTACAAACTGCATGAAATAATCTTTGTATCTGATGTGAGTGTTGTCTTTAAAACCTCCCCCCTCTCTCCCCTCAGTGTTGCCCTCAGTGGTTGCCGTGGCCGTGGCGAGGCGCTCGAGCAAAAGTGTTTTCATGGGGAACCTGGGGGGCCGGCGCTCCTGTCACGGACACATGTACAGCCCGGCCGGCTGGCTGCTGCCCTACAGACACCCGCTGAGCCTGGAGCACAACAGCAGCGCCCCCTGTGGCCCCGACCAAGGTACTGCTCACATATATACTTTTTTTTAATATATTAAACCTTAAGCCATTAAGGCTACCCTTAATCGTCCCACAGAGGGGAAATATACATTCTGCAATTGACCGGTTCCTAGTGTTAGGAGCAGTGCAGTACAGACAACCACAGGAAGCAGGGCTGCACTTTACTAAACCAGAACTAATGCTGAGCCCAATGTCTCCTTTTCTTTCGTACTTTCAAAGCTTTTGCTGAGGTTTTAGAATAACGTTTTGAATCTCTATTTTTGTATGAATAAATTGATTAACTGAATTAAATTAATCAATCTTTTTTTATTAAATCAACTTTCTTTTTATTGAGTGATATATTAATTTCAGGACAGGTACAAAAAAAACAGTGTCACATATAAGTACAAGAGCAGACACAAGCCGGTAAGACAAAACAAAAGTAGCTTTCTTTAATGGATAAATGCATGCTTTCCTTTAAGTGCAGCAAGGACAAGGGCCGACAACAAATATCGAGTGAAGCAGAACTTTATGTTATATATTTGGATTTTTTTAAATAATGACATCTATCTTTTGGAAATGTGCATTGTGCACTTATTGCACCGTTTGAACAGATTCTGAGAGTCCACTTTATTCATTGTTTTGTCAATTGTTCTGTTAACTTGCAATAATATGCCATTATTTTATCATTATATCAGTGAAATATAATGGTACTTAAATAAAACAAGATAGTTATCCGCAATTATTTCTAGGACAATATATCATCCAACGAAGTGGTTGTTCTGACAGGCCTCAGCTGCTGTGTCATGCTTTGTGTTTCCTCAGTGTACAACGACGTGTTTTGGAAAGGCTGCCTCCCGGGCTCTCAGGGGAATCTGTGTAAAGTGTGTCTGGGAGGCACGGGGGAGGCCGCCACCAAACGCTGCGCTGACAACCACAATGAGCGTTACTATGGCAACACTGGGGCATTAAGGTACGTGGAGTCTCTCCCCTGAACTAGTTTCTGTTCATCTGGGTTTGCTGAAGTGGAAAGCTTATATTTTCCCTTCTTTTTTGAGCAACTCAATATGAAATACTTGAGGGAATGAGGAATCATCTGCAGGTGGCAGCCAGATGCTGAACTCAGCCTGTAGTCAGAGGTTAAGTACAAGAAAATGGGAACATTAAGATCGTTTTGGTTTATTCAACCTGGTTGTAAGACATTTTTGTTGATATATGACACTCGCCTAGTAGAATTGATATAAAGGGAATTTGGTTGGTGCTCAGAGCCTTTATTAAATGGCATGTAAACTCAAAATACCAGCTTTTTTTGGCAACATTGGGGAACCTGTAAACACAGGACTTGACATTTTTTCGCTTCCTTTGTATATACTGTATAAATAGTAGGCAAAGAATCAGCCTCAGAGTAACTTCAACATGTATTCAATGAAGGAATGTTGACGTTCATTCATTCAATAGTCCTATGATGCCATAGGACTATTTTTTTCATATAAAGTAGTTTCAATATGAATTGTCCAGCCTCCACCTCCATTTTTAATCTTTAATCTTGACTTGTTATTAAAGGTGTCTGGTTGGAGATCCCAGTGGGAAAAGCTATGGTGACGTGGCCTTCCTCGAGCAACACACCCTTCTTGACAACATCCTCAGTGAGATATATAAGATAACGTTTTGACACACACACACACACACACTTGTGCAGACATGAACTCTATGTTTAGTATTCTTCATTATATTGTTCGTCATGTTGTTCTTCAGGTTTGAACTCCAGCGGTTGGGCAGAGGGCTGGACGCTGTCAGACTACGAGCTGCTGTGTGGGGACGGTCGTCGGGCCCCGCTGGCAGAGTGGGAGAGCTGCAACCTGGGAGTCATCCCCCCGAACAGCGTCATGACGCGGCCGGTGCTCACAGCACGAGTGTACGACTTCCTCATGAAGTCACAGGTCAGCTTCTGTGAACACTGTTTTAAATCAGGTTTTACGTTTACACAATGAAGACATGGGACTTTGCATGAAGACGTATGTTTCAAGTTGTCTCGCATTGTTGCTCAGCTGCACCCCCAATTCAAAGGGACAGTTTGGATCGTTTGAAGTGGAATTGGAATAAATACTCATTCATAGTCAGGTAAAATCTAAAGTAAATGGCATTTTGGACACTGACAAAATTACCTTATTTTGAAATATCCAAGTGACTGACACATAAATATAGAGGATTAAAACTTATAAAATGGTATTACTTGAGTATAGGACAAGTATCGAAAATTATATTTAAGTATATTTGCTTACTTTTATATTTACTTTCCACCGCATATTTACTTTTTTTGTATCCTTATAGGAAACTTTATCCGCCAACCCAAACGCAGAGTTCAAGCTCTTTCAGTCTCAGGAATATGGAGAGAGTGATCTGCTTTTCAAAGACGCTACTCAGTGTTTCGTCCACACGGGCCACATGGACCCCCGCTCCATCCTAGGAGAGGAGTTTTACAGTCAGGCGGAAGCGGCTTTCAACTGCACACACTCTGGTACTACTCTGATGAATCACTAGATGATTTTAAACCTCATTCCTGTTGATAATGCTAATGTGTTCACATTAATTTCCCTTTCAACAGATATCTTGGAGTTTTGTAATCGGGACGTGTGCAGCATATTCTAAAGGACACATTTCTCTCTGCTGCTCAGTGGATCAATACTTCATCCAGAATCTCAACTACAAACCATCCCTGGTTGACAGCCGACATGAATTTCAAAACACTGTTGCCTGACTGAACCGATGAATTTGAGCGTTTAGATGCCAATTCAACATCAAATGTTGTGAATCATCTGTGTCTTTCAAAAACACAAAACACTTTTAAGGCCTGAAAATAATTAAAATCAAAATATGGTTTAAGTAGGATATACAGAAAAGTAGAGAACACAAATATAGAATCGAAATGTACCTTACCAAAATGTGAAAAATATATTATAAACATACAGGTTGTGTACTCTGTTACTGTTGTAACACGTGGTTCCCACACATCTAATCATTAACACAGCATCTTGCAATCATAAAGGCTCAAACAACAAAGTTAAGATAATACGATAGAACAGTGTGTGTAGAATATAAAAACAGCTGAAACATCTAAGACTACTGCAATATATATATATAGAAATGTATACATCATTTTGCACAAATTAGTTAACACAATCTATGTTTTGTACTAACATGTAATGCGGTGTATGTAATGTAGTTAAGGTGGTGCAAGGTTATTCAGTCATCTTTGTGCCACAGTATGTCAACAACAAAAAAAACATAAATAAATGAATCTACTTTTATTATGCTTACAATGTGTGTTTCTTATACTGTCAATGTGTTACCTAAAAACAAATACAATGTGAAACCACTGTGGTCAAAGTGGTGGAGTTGTATTGAAATGGCAATAATTTACTATATCCCGACAAAGTCAACAAGAACTGAACATTATCAACTTACTAAAGGTATAATTCAAGCCAGAGCTGATGTATCGATGAGAATTGCAGGTATACCTTATATGTTTTTTTAAAAACGAGTTTATTTTAAGCAAATAAAGCTGAAAACCATCCTGATATTTCAGTTGTTGACTACTACTCCCAGACTGCAGCGCGTGTGTGTTTGGTGTTACGTAAAACATGGTGTTTCCTGTTTCTGTCCCTCGGACAAAGGTTCCCATCTTATATCAGTCTGTTATTTAACCCACGCCGTGGAGCTGCCGACTGTTTGTTGTTGCTCCAGTTATTAACAATAACAACAACGTGTGGCCACCACCGTAACTCCCGGTAGACAAGGTAATATTATAATAGAAAAACAATCTTTCATAGTGACTGTTACTTAAACCGGCTAATGCTAATTTACCGGTGACACAGTGCACTATTCGTTATTGACCCTCATACAAAGTGTGTTTGCTGTATGTAGCTTCTTAGCTGTCAGACTAGCATTCACTTGTAGTGTAACCTTTTTTTAATATTGTTAATCATAGGCTGCCTTCTTGTATCCTATTAAGATCCATTCATGTTATTTTAACATACTTTCATATTTTCATTTCGGTAGATTTTGTGTTGTCATTATAGTTATTTCTTTTTTGATTACATTAATTATAAATTGTGTGGTTAGTCAAATGTTTAAAAAAAATGAAAAATATCCTTTCAATTTTCTCAATGTCCAAGGTGATGTCTCTAAATGTCTTAGTTTTCCATTTGTGCTCTGGCAACACCTATAGCAGAGGAAAATGGAGCAGGAGGTGTACAGAACATGTTTGTTTTTATTTCTAATCATCTGTTTGCCTGTCCAGATGAGATTGCCACGGCAGATCCTCACAATGCACGCTGTGAGGAGGGCCTCCTCGGTCCCTGCAGGGATGGTGAGCTTTGTCCCGGCCTGCAGCACGGCTGACGCCCACTCCCTGGAGCTCCTGCAGGACTTTGTGTCCCGAGCCAGACGCCTGTTTGTCATCACCGGAGCAGGACTGTCCACCGAGTCGGGGATCCCTGATTACCGCTCAGAGGGTGTGGGCCTGTATGCTCGGACTGACAGAAGACCCATGCAGTATTCAGAGTTTGTCCGCAGTGCAAAGGCCCGCCAACGCTACTGGGCCAGAAACTTTGTCGGGTGGCCGCAGTTCTCTTCACATCTGCCAAATTCTGCACATAGGGCCCTGCAGCGGTGGGAGGAGAGGGGGAAGCTGCACTGGCTGGTGACACAGAATGTGGATTCTCTTCATTCTAAGGCCGGACAAAAAAGACTGACTGAGCTACATGGCTGTGCTCACAGGTGAGAAAACACCTGACACATCAACCTGCTCTGAGAGTTACGGAAGAGTATTAGGGTCAGGCATAAGTGGAAAAATTAGGGGAGGACGATTAGTTTCTTATTTTTGAGGATAGGTAGAAATGTTGATAATAAATGTGGAACTACTAGGTTGAATTCATAAGACTTAACACTCCAAATTATATATCAAAGCAACAACATAATTATTTCCCCTTACTATGTGCCGGGCCCTTAAAGTCTTCCATACATAATAATCAAGGTTGTGGTCTTCCTATTTGCTCCAGGAAAGTGGAAAAGGAATAATTGTAACTTTAAGGTACATTATAAATCTAAGGATTTGGTTTAAACAAAAACATAATGTTATTGTACTAAACTGTCAGTAACTGGGATGGATGTTTTTGTTACCATTGTTTGACCTTTTGTGTTGATATTCTTCCTCCAAAGGGTGATGTGTCTTGGCTGTGGAGCAGTCTCAGAGAGGGAGGAGTTGCAGGCGAGATTCATTGCACTAAACCCAGAATGGAGGGCGCAGACGAGCGGCGTGGCTCCGGACGGGGATGTGTTCATCGAGGACGAGCAGGTGCTCCATTTCAGAGTCCCCTCCTGTGAGGCATGTGGAGGGATACTGAAGCCCGAGGTCACCTTTTTTGGAGACAATGTGAACAAAGCAACAGTACAGTTTGTGCGCGACCGGCTGGCAGAGTCAGATGCGGTGCTCGTCGCAGGGTCATCGTTACAGGTAGGATTGGTTGAAATATCACCAGTTTACAACACAATTCTTCTGGACTTTTTTTTATTTAATTGTGACCCTCTCTGTTATGTTTAAGGTATATTCAGGATACAGGTTTTTACTGGCAGCGGGTGATCGTAAGATGTCGGTCGCCATCTTGAACATCGGGCCTACGAGGGCAGATCACCTGGCTGAACTGAAAGTGAGCGGCCGCTGCGGTGAAGTGCTGTCAGCTATTCATTCTGTCTGACTGTCGTGGACATGCAGTTTGGATATTCTACGTTAAAATGGCAATGAACTACTTTTCAACCCCCCTGCAACCACATTGTCTGTTGCTACTTTCAGCTGGTCAGAACTACCTCAGACTTAAACATGTCAACAACATAATTCACTTCATAAACGGGTTTGAATGTTTTTTTGTGTAATGTCAAAGGAGAAAGAGGCATTTCCACTTCTCCTCCAAAGGAAATTGCTGCTATTACATCTGCTAGTACATCAGTACAGTAAAACCTGAAACTTCTTATCAGCTATTTTATGCAGTTTACAAGTAAAAGGAAAGTCTAGTTGTCTTTAAGATTCGATTTCTCTGCACATATCAGATTGGTGTCACACGATCAATGTCTCAGCCAAGATAAACAGAAAGTCTGTTGTGAGTATTGCTGCTGTGGGTTTTTGGCATAATACAAAATGTGCAGTAGATCACAAAGTATGTGTCGTGACATCTGGAAGCCCAGGCACTGTTGTGCCCTAATGCTGTTTTGATTTAAATTAAATCATCTAAACGTGACAATTTAAATATGCTTTCTGGTTTGCATTAAACCCAACAAGGTTATTCGACAATGTTTTTGGAAACATATTTAAAAGATACATAATGTACTGCAATCAGCTGATTTTAAAAGGTGTAATCTGTGCTATCCTGGAATGATTTATACTCATGTTTTTATATAATGGTGCTAACATTGACAGGTGTACATTTTAAACTAACAATCAATAGAATTGACCTTTTATCAATTTGTTTAACAATGCAAGGCTTATGTTTCAACTGATGCAAATGTAACGTGTTATGTAACTACAAAAATAGACAATGTTCTTTTTAAATAATTCATTTTAAAGCATTGTATCTTAAATTCACACATTGAAAGAGATTGAAATGTAGTTGGCCACTTTCAACTGTTACTTCAGTCAAAATGAACTGTCAGTAATGTGGTATGGCAAAAATGCTCAAATAAATATCGGAATGCTCCTAAAAACTGTATAAAAGGGGCAAAGATTTTAAAATACATATGTTTGACTCAAACAGCGCTGTTCTTCACACTTCGCTGTTGTGACGATACCTGGCAGAAAAGTCAGGCCAATAACCAACAATGCAATGTTCAATATATCGATTCCATTATCTTTTTTATTATTCTCAAAAAGTTGAAATTGCCATGACTTTCTTCTGCTTTCTTTCTCAAACACGTATCTTTGGGACACCAGAAATATGTCTATGTATTCATGTGGCACAAGGTATCCTGTATGTTTCTAAAACTGGGATACTTTCATATTAAAAAAAGTAACGTTATAGAGTGGTGCAGTGACGCATCCTAAAACCCGGATCATAAATCTAATCGATAGATTTATGATTAGAAAATTATAAAAGTAGGGTAGTAATGTGGAGATTATCTGAATGAACAAAACATGATCAGTCTCTTAAATGTGTGTCAACCAGACCTTATTTCGAGCTATTTTCCAAAATCCTATGGAGAAATTGCATTGCTTTTTTGTCGAGGGAACCGGAAGAAGCTTACTTCCGGGTTTTAGGATGCGTCACCGCACCACTCTATTGAGTAGACCAATTGTTTTTATTAATAGCACCCCTCAACAATCTTGTAAATGCCCAAAGTTAAGCAAATGTGTCCTCCTAAATGTTTCGATTTTCCCACACAGACAGGCTGTGTGTGTGTGTACTGTCTTGACCAGTGGTATTGGTTAACCCAAGTTTGAATAACACTGACGTTAAGAACTAATCTGCTATTTTGATGTTTAATGCAGTGATAAAGTAAAAACCCACATCATTTTTTAACTGTTTATTTTTAAGACAAACATCATGGTAGCATCACAAACAGACAGAGGGCAGAGTGACTGTAGATTGACGAACTGTAAGATCCTTAAAGACATTTTGCTGCTGAAATCTTTCTTGTAAAGACCGCTTCCAGTTTTCCAGGCTGGACTGCACAGCTTGGAGCAGAGCAGCCGGGACGCTGAAGGAGTAAAGACAACATCTGTGCTCGGAGGAGTCGCCCTGCCATGATGCTGACGCTGCAGTCACCATCAGGGGAGTCAGAGACAGGCAGTTCTCAAAGCTCTTCGTCTGATCAAACCAGTAAGTGACGGGGAAACCCAATAAAATACCAAACACTGTGCACAGGTTCCACTCCTCTGACTTCTCTCCAACATAACACGGTTTCTCAGCCTCCTTCAGTTGTTCCAACCTCTTTAGGAGGAGCAGTATATCGTGTGTCAGGCTCCTCAGCTCTCCTCTGAGCGGGTCTACGATGGTGGGCTTCTCCAGGGAGTGGCAGATGTCAATAATAGCCACGTTTTTATCATGAATAATCTGTTCTACTTTCGCCCTGACAGTAAGAGGGTTAACAATGAGAGTGTTTCCATTTAAATCCAGTGTGAGAAGTGATTTAGAAACAAGCTGGGAACACTGCAAAGAGCTCAAATACTGCTGCAGCTGATCTGCACCGGCGCCGTTGCTGTCATACAACAAAGCGGGCTTCAATCCCAGATCAACAGCCAAGACCTGAGCCGCCAGGTCCAGACTCTGAGGGACGGAGAGAGATTTTCTACCAGCAGACAGATGTTTACGAGCAGCAGCCACAAAGAGCTCCCGAGTGGACATAGCTGCTGAAATCACCTCTCACAAGATTCAAATGTGAAAGTTAAATAAGAGCTATTTCACAATCTATGGGACAAAGTAAGGAGGTACTGATTCAACAATAACAAAAAAAGATCGACATAAAGGTGAAGCTGATTTGGTTTGATAAGATGATTTGTTTTCAAAATAAAACTAGTAATGGAAAAGTCTTGTCATTTAAATCCCTTGTTTCTTCTCTGTTGGTCGAAGGCGCCTAAAGGAACATATAGATTATGTTAATTACAAACACGCATCTCTTGAAGCTAATTATCACTTTGCATATGAAATATAACAATTGTAACTTTTAAGCAGAGATTTTCATGATGGAAGAAGTGCACCTTAATACACATCATTTTGTAAACGTATCAACACATTCCTCTGTCTTTGATAAAGATGATCTCACCATTATCCTGGTTGTAAGTTATGTAAGTTATGCCAAGGGCTGAGGAACCAGCAGGTCGAAATCTGAGAGGTTTCTCGCAACCCAGACACCCGCCACAAACAGACCCAGGTTGACCAGAAGATTCCTGAAAGATGAATATGATAAGATATGCACTGAGTTACAATTTATTCTTACAAGATTAAAGCTTTAAAAACACATTCATTTATAAATGCCATAGCTTGAACAGTACTGGGTATTTGAGGCAAAATAAAAACAATGATACATCAGAATACAGTCACTAATTTGAAGATGAACCCAGAGAGATAATGTCTCACTGTAGATATAGAAACAGGGTACATAAGATCGAAGTAATAAAGCATTTGAATATACTTCCCACAAAGAAATGATGTCAAATACCTTGTGATGCATCATATTTAATGAGCTCACCTTATTATGGGAACATTTCGTGATTGGTTTATTCAAAAACTAAATGAAAAGAAGATACATGTTATTTTTTAAATTGATAAAGGAGTTGGCAAGGTATTCATAAATACAATGATATCCAGCATAATGTTAAACTGCTTTCAAACCCAACTATGAGGCTATCAAGAAACTTAAAAATGTATTTGTTTTATAGTATCTTTATCTAGTGTGATTTGCCACTGTATCTGTTGTTATTGTTATTTCTGTAAGCTGTCAACTGTATAGTGAATCTGTATCATGTTGAACAAATTAGTGGTAGTTCACCTAGTGGTGCAGCTTTCCCTTTCAAATCCATAAAGTACCAGTCTACATACAGTAGGCCAGGAGCTTTTAGGTGGCCCTGGTACTACTGGGTCCCTGGGGCTTTCCCCACTAAGTTTACTTTTCAACCCAGCCTTGGTCGGTACAAAACAGGCAAAAATAAAGCGGGTTGACTGGTCCAGAAACCCGAAAGCAGGACTGGACGAGGCAAGGGCAAATCTCCCTGACGGACGCAGCGTGTGCTAACGTTAGCAACACAGCTAATGACCACACATTTAAACTCATTTTTTAATATCCACATTATCTCACCTTCTGAAGTCGGTTCTGTCTGTTGCGAATTTACAAGCTGAACCGACCCACTCCACCACACTGGCGGTGGGACCCTTTTTGGCGCCTACTCCGCTCATCTTGCAGATAACGTGCGGTGGAACGTAACGAGAGAAGCAGAAAAAGCAAGGGACACCGACAGCAGGGGGAACACTTTAGATGTAACACAAGAAGTACGGAGTGCGATAAAGCTCAAATTTCCCAAAGGCGATATTCATTAAAATCCAAAGATGGCTACCACCAGGTACCGTCGGTTCCTGAAGCTGTGTGAGGAATGGCCCCGTGACGAGGGCAAGAAGGCCCGGGATTTGGGAACGTTTCTGCGGCAGAGAGTAGCTTCTGCCTTCCGTGAGGGTGAAAACACACAGGTTAGTTTTACAGACAAAAACACAGCAAGCTAAGCTAATTGGATAACAAGGCTAACCGCTGCCGACCTTGTCTGCACAGATCGTGGATTGAGCCTCTATTTATTGTATTTAACATTATACATGCAGCTCTGCAAGGCAATACTTATCTGGGCTTAAGTTTGTACCTCATCACATAACTTTGATAGGACAGCTAGAAAAGCTGTCATTATGTAAACAGTGTTGTATCAGTGGTACAAGTACACTTTTATGGTGAAGTTCTGCTCTTAACCTCCGGGTTCCATTTAGGAACCATCACCAAATGACAGACTCATAAGCAATTTTATTTCCAAGTCCTCCTGGTTAACTTTCCCATATTGGTTCAAATGATGGTAAAATAATTATGCTTAAATGTGTATTATGTGGCAAACCTTTTCTGTCATCAATTTGTTTATAAAACATATTTTAATATAATATAATTTCATTGTTTTCAATTGCAAGTAACCCAGTGACAAATCACTGCGAAATTGAGTAACTACACTGAACAAGTAGGACGGATAGGACTGAAGATAGGACTTGACTGCTATTTTGATTTGATATGAATACACTGCTATGACAATTCAGCCGTTTCTTTATTGAAACATATATTTCCTTTCAATAGCTTCCATATCTAGTGATGTAATTACTCCATATCAATGTAGAATTGTGTAACCACACAGGACAAGGAGGATCTTTTGTGAACATTAAATGCCTCTTTTTCATCATGTTCCATGTCATGTGACCCAATGGCTTCAGTTGAACACATCTCTTTTTATTTTTAGAATTGTAGTCCCTTTCCTATTTTTTTATAAATGTTATTGAGATTAAGCATTTGTTTTGTTGACATTTCTGATACTTTTTCAGTAGTTTCCGTGTCATGTGACCTCAAATTAATACAGCTGTTTGTCAAATATCCAACCTAAAACCAACATCACTGTGGTCTATTTCAAAGTATCCTACTAGTTCTGTTTGGTTGTAACTTTAAAATATATCCTTTATTTCATTTCATAAAAAATGTTTATACTTTGTATTCACCAAATTGATTATAATACTACTGATATCTGATCTGTTAAGTTAACACTTATAGTAGGACTACAAATAACTAATATTTTGATTATTGATCAGCTGATTATTTTCAATTAACTGCTTTTAGTGTTTTGCCAAAAAATATTATTTATTGGTCAATTGTCTTGTAAAATGAATTTATACCAGCCTTCTCATTGTTATCAATAATACATTGTTTTGTACCTAGCATTTGAAACTTGTCCAATTTATCCATGCTTCCCGCCAGATCTCAGATCCAGAGAAGTGTGACCAGATGTATGAAAGTTTGGCGCGCATTAACAGCAACTACTACAGACAACGAGTAAGTACAGTATAATTGATTCACAACTTCCAAAAAACGGTTATTTAAAATGCTTTTTTCCCTACAATATAACCTAAATATTGCTACTGAGAAACTATATTACTCCAAAGTTGTGTCCACAATTATTGACTGATTTATCTACACATCCCACAATAATCTACCAGTTTTAAATGTTGTTTAGTAAACCATTTTTATTTTGGCAAGTTTCTAAGAAGTAAAACAACTGGTCTAAAAAAATGCTGTCATCAATTTGTTTATAAAACACATTTTAATATAATATAATTTCATTGTTTTCAATTGCAAGTAACCCAGTGACAAATCACTGCGAAATTGAGTGAACTACACTGAACAAGTAGGACGGATAGGACTGAAGTTACTCCATTTTTATTTTGGCAAGTTTCTAAGAAGTAAAACAACTGGTCTAAAAAATATATTTTTTTGTAACAGGCATCTTTGGATAACGGAGCAACCCTCCGTTATCCAAAGATGCCCGTTACAACAAAAAAAAATTTTACACAACCAATTGAAAACATTTAGTACAAAGTGTTTCTGTGTGCAAGTCTAACATAATTTGTATTACGTTTGTCTTAGGTTCTCTTTATGATCATTTTCAAACATAAAAACTCCATAATCTTAAACACACTTTACCTGGTTTAATGCCAAACTATACAGCATCTATAAATAAAAAAATGTCTTGCCTGAAAACATCTGTGTGTAGCATGAAGTGTATCAGCTGAGGAAACATGTTTCTGTCATCTTCGATACTATAAAGAAAAACCAACCACAACATTTTTTATTCTTTAATGCGGATAATAATATGCTTTATGATTAGTCCAGAGGTTGTTACGTATTACCAATACCATAGTCACATTTAAAAAATACTCCTTTCAAAAAAGATATTTGTGATTATTACATTATGAGTGTGTATTTCTGGGTGAAAACTTTATGTATCCAACCTACCCTTATTTTATGCAAACATGTCTTTATCTTCTCAGTTTCCTCGTGTAAGAGACACAAGCTTTACTGGCGTTACGGTTGAAGAATGTAAATTGCTTTTGTCGGGTAAGAATCCACAATATCGCATTTATCTTTATAACTAATTATGAAAGAAATTTTTATTACAGTTAACTTTATATTTACTTACAGGAAATCTGCACCAGATGGATGAGGAGAAAAAGGGATTGTGGAAGAAACTATTGGAGAGATTTTCCAAATCCCCCGAAGAGGTTCCAGAGAAAGCCCCTGAAAAATAACTTCCCTTAATCTTTTCTGACTGTTCCTTTCTTGTCTCATGCATGTATAATAAATAAAGCTTATTGTTCATATCTTTATGGATTCTTATGTTTTTACTATCCATGTTGTTCGTTATTACAAACGTTTAACTATGTAGATGGTAATGGTTTCACATTTGAAGGGATCAAAACACTTCAACAAGAAAGTCTCTCCAAAAACATAAATAACATTCTAAATACTTTTAAATAGATACATAATTTCTACTTTCACCAAGAAAGTTTGTCTGTTCATTTTCTTTAGTTTGTTCACATGTGTTAGCAGTTTTTTAAATCTTTTATTAGTTGTGGCCCTTGGACTAAATAGTTGTTTTTTCCGCCTTGTTGAGGATGTTCTTTGCTTTTTTTCATTATGTTCTCATGCCCTACAGAATACACTTAAAGGAAAAAAATTGCAAATGTATCCTATAATTGTCTCCAACTTTTAGTCGTGGACTGGGTGACAAATTTGGGAACATAAGTCTCAACACCAATGACTATAAGTATGTTATTTAAGGGTCACCTATCATGCTATTTTTAGGCAATAGGTCTCAGATATATACAAATATATAAAAAACATGTCTAAGAAGTGTTTTGCTCAAAATACCAAACAGATCACCCATTCTAGCCATGCCTCATATCCCTCTATTTCACTTCCTGTTTCAAAAGTGCTGATTTTGGGTATAAAGCTTTTTTTTTTTAAATGATAAAAGAGGGGCTGAGCTTAAGCCTGCTCATACGGGAGATTCTACCGGCAGATACTGCCGTGATGAAATGCCATATCATGGATTATCAAGGATTATTTCTGAAACAGTATGGAACTCAAAGGCTTTCTCTCTTGCCGGTTATACCACAAGGTGAGTTCCTTTTTATTTCCTGCTTCTTCACACACATGCTCTCTCCAGTACAGGTTAGCTCTGAGTGTTAGCGATGCTAACGTAAACACCGACCATATTACGTCCAAAACAGTCGGGCATTGTTTCTGATAGCAACGTTTGATAGTGCTGTGGGTCTGCATTGCCGATTTGACGTAATATCGAACGCAAATCTGGATCAG